AAAAAAAAAAAAAAAAAAAAGTGGAAAAACCTAGGCCCTACACCTAAAATCCGCAAGCACTTGCATGCACTAAATTACATGTTCCCATGGACCAGACCTCAACAGTAAGGTGCTACCTAAACCCTAGCCCAAAACGATGAACCAACAAACATGAACTGTAATTTCTGGTTGCGCAACTCTCAACGTTAAACTCAAACACCCCAAATCCCCAAGCCCAAAGTCTTGAACACGCTAAGCACAAATTCCAAGCCATTACGCGTAGACCCCAAGTACGTTAAGCCCAAAACCCTAAGCCTCCAAAACCAAACGATTCCACACTAACCCTATATTTGGGTCCCCTACACCCTAGACCCTAAACCNNCCTAAACCCTAAACTCTATATTGGGGGTCCGTTCATATAAGGAAAGTACTCCTTCTTTCCCAGGCTCAAGAGCGACTCCAGGAACTCCGACTCCTCATCCTATGGGTTCAGGGTTATAGGGCTTTAGTAAGGTTTAGGGTTTAGGGGTTAGGGTTTACCTTTTGGGGTTTAGGGTTTCGGGCTTAGGGTTCAAGGTTTGAGGGTTCAAGGTTTGGGGCTTAGGATTCAGGTTTTGGGGCTTGGGGTTTTGGGGCTAGAGGTGTGGAGTTTTGGGGCTTAGGATGTGAAATTCAAGGTGTAGGATTGAGGGTCCAGGGAGCTTTAAGCTTCTGCTTTAGGATTTAGGGTTTAGGGTTTAAGGTTTAGGGTTTAGGGTTTAGGCTCATGTTTACGAATATCCGGAACAGTATACGCTTGGCAAGGATGATATGAGCACGCCGCCCCATCACGACAGTGTTACAAGGCCTCTGCAAAAAGCGCAATACTACGAATCAGAATTCCCAGAGCAGGAGTGCAGCTCAGATGGCTTTTTCGTAGCCAGGGCAAACCTCAATCCGGAACAGACTGAAGTGGCTCTTGCTTCACGCCGTACTGCACCAAAAAACAGGGGCTCTACTTGCCACGGGATCCCATTCTTGCCACTCCTGATATCTGTGAGTGTGCTTGTGGAACTGGAAAGGAATTCAACATCAAAAATCTCTTGCACTAGTCTCCACCCCATCATCTCCGTGCTAAACCCTACCCTCCCCCAACCCTCCTCAAGGCGCTCCCACTTTGGGCCGAGCTTCACCTGGAACTGCGCCAGATTGCAACACATGAGCCATAGTCTAAACTCCTCAAAGGGGGGTTATATTGGGGATTATATAGGGGACTACTATAGGGGTTATGAAGGGGAATACTAGGAATTTAGGCTGTTGCTCACATATTTTTTACGGCTCCAGGAATCTCTGGACTGGATGCTTTGTGCATCAAATGGAGCTCCGCAAACCAAGGAGTTAAGGTACTGCTGAGATTGCCGCGGGGTGCTTTCTGTATCTCAGTGCTAGACAAAAGCAGCGCAAGGATCCAAGCTTATAATCCTAGATAACCCCTATGTGTCCCATAACATATGTCAGGTTCTATGTTCGTTTCCATTACCCCTATAGAAACACTACATAACACCAGATAATCCCGGCAAAGCGAGATAGCAGTTTCCATGTTCTTGTCCACTACCCCTATAGACTTACAACATAGCCTATAGACTCCCGAATGTTTCCATGTAAAGGTATCCAACATTGTTGGCTCGTAAAGCTAGCCCTCGGAAGCTTTTTCAGCTTATATGGGATTATATTGGACTATATAGGGTTATATAGGATTGTTTGGAGTTGCGGAAGGTTAAATGGCGTTATATAGGATTATATGGAGGTATATGGCAATATGTGGGCAAATAGAAACGGATCTCCTCTACAGGCATTTGCACAATTCGCTTCCCGAATTACCTGATGGTTTCCCGCCAAGGGGAGGATTCTTGCGACAAAAGCTTTTTCAATATCCGTTTACTTTGCGCATCATGCTGAAGAAGATCCACAAAAACAATTGGTTTGCGCATATCTATGTACAAATCCCTGCTCATGCTTAGTTGGAAATTGTGGAAAGATCTCTATCCTAGTCCCCAAATTGTCCCACTGTAACCCATATCATAGACCGACCACCCCATCCACCAGTCGCTACCAAGCGTGGGCAAGACTTAGGCTACACCCGGGCCCTGTAAGCCTCCCAGTGGGCCGTGAGCATGGCTGGTCTTCAGCCCATCTCCATGGCCAAGGATGTTTGTGTTTGAGGACTGGGTTAAGGATTTGCAAGTCCCTTTCGGGTGCTGATGGTTTTGGCGTCCTGTCTTACACGATTTTTTTTTGAGGGGGTGATTGCACCACTGTCCTCATGCTCTCAGGACACAAACCGTGGCAGTGCACGCGAACCTACTATGCTCCAACGGTGCTTGTGGTAGTGGGCGTTAGCAAGAGATCGTAGCAGACGTGGAGGTGGTGCTTGTAGTGGGACCTGTGCTGGTCGTAGGAGAAGCAGCTGCGGCTGTCTCGATTGTGTTGCTACAACATCACCTAGTCCTCCTACCGTTTTATAAAACGTTTTATAAAACTGCTAATGTTTTCGTTTTGTAATACATTAGCAGGGCGTCTGTTATTGTCATCAGCCTTTCAGGCATGCACGCTGAAGCCCAATATCGGCAGTGAATCTGTGGCGGAACTTCAAGCACTGGTGCTTCCGATGCTCCTTCTTCTCCAGCTTATGCACACAAGCTCGAATGCTACGGGGCGGAGACAATACCAAAATCATACGAACATGTTGGATCTTTTAAACGTCCTAGGGCTTACGTTAACTCTTGACACAATTTGATTTGCTAAGTGACAGCTGTGAGAATCACATTCTGGAAGTTCCTGTGCTTGAGGGAAGGACTTCTCCTGCTTTGCACAGCCACACTAGCTTACTAACTAGGCACATCAAAGTCAATGTTGTGAAGCCATGGCAAGGTCAGGCTTAGGGCTTCAACAGCATTACTAGGGTGCAATAGCAGCAACCGCAAATCTTGAGAGAACTTCACTAGGCAACGAACTGCAGAGAGGGTTAGATTGAACCGATAAGCCCTTCTAAACGCGGCGATTCCCTCCATGATCATGATGATGACGGTGCTAGTGAATGCGCTAGTTGCTTCGTTAGTAAATTCGTTAGTTAGTGAGTTAGTTAGTTCGTTAGTTGGTTAGTTAGTTAGGAAGTAGTAGTAGCAGCAGTACTACTACTACTACT